AGGGTTTCAGCTCTAATTTGCCCGTACCTCTCCCCTCAAAGAGAGACAGGCATAATTAACAGGGCCAAAACACCCACCACGGGCTGAGCGGAGTCATTTAGGGGAGCGACTCGGGAGGAACGGCAGCAAATGAAATGTAATTGCAAAGGGAGCAGAGGAGCTGGGCTGGCGTGTCGGAGGCGCTGGTGTGTGTGAGAGGGAAAGAATGAGAGAATGAATGAGCCAGACATGAGGGAATGGGGCAGTAAATGAAAAACACTGAAGTTAGATAGAGAATATGCACTTGAGAGAAGAGCAGCGAGAAGAATGACTGATGAGGGATCATGAGCGACAGGTGGAGATAAACAGCGAGCAGCCATTCCTTTAGGTGACAATGATGCACCACCCCTCACCGAAAACTCTGCTAGAATATGAATCCAAGTAGAGATGTGTTCAAAGACGTCTGTAGAGCTGGACGTAGCTCCAGCTACAGCTCTGTTTCATCTCTACAGGTCTTGGGGTAGATGTGTGGAAGACTCACAGAAAAGATGGAACCAGAACGTCTCCCTTCGTGGCACGGACGCTGCGTTTAGTGGGATCAGTGAGGGTGCAGGCATCTGATGGGGGTCTTACATGTAAATCAGGGAACTGAGTAAAAGCCTCTGTGGACAGCCTGGTAAGCTGAGACCATAAATCCTGAAATAGGACTTTATTTGCAGCACATGAGCAGAGAAAGCCTCCGTCTCTAGAGGCTAGTCCACTCCGGAGCTGGTTTCAGCTCAATAAAGGCTACAACCAACGTTTAGGTGAAATGTTTAGAAAAAGGATTCTGTGGAGTTCTTATGGACATTTATCATGATTTATTAGCTAAAAGCAACTGTGTGTGATGCTTCCGCGTGGTTCTGCCATGCCTGTCATGGTTGTTTTCTCCTGTCTGCCAGTCCTCCTGTTAATCAGCTTCACCCAGTTCACCTGAGCCCCGCCTGACTGCCTCCTTGCTGCACCTGTGCGCTCATCTCCTTAAACAAAGCTCAGGCTCAGATCATCGACAGCCTTGTGCCAGTAGAGACTCCAGCGATATTTTCAACCAAGCCTTTTGACTTTTCACCACAGACTCAGTCCACAAATGCTAATAGTGCATAAAGGGCAGTTGCTTAGTTTCAAATGTTTAATACATGAAGTCTAGATAAAGTACATAAGTCAACAGATTTGGTTCACTATTTGGCAAGAAACCAGTAGGCTAAGACGCTTTCTCACACTTAATTAATGCATAATAAACATTTATTAGCCATTTATAAGGGGAGCCTTATTGTAACGTGGTACCCAATAAAGTTTATCTCTCACCAAATAGAATATTTACTAAGACATCACAAAGTAACCATAGACACACTACTTGGTGTGTGTGTGTGTGTGTGTGTGTGTGTGTGTGCGTGCGTGTGTGTGTGTGTGTGTGTGTGTGTGTGTGTGCGTGCGTGTGTGTGTGTGTGTGTGTGTGTGTGTGTGTGTGCGTGCGTGTGTGCGTGCGTGTGTGTGTGTGTGTGTGTGTGTGCGTGCGTGCGTGCGTGCGTGTGTGTGTGTGATAAAACTACAACAGTTATTAAATGTCCTGGTTATAAATCTTCTTTAGTTTTTCCTTCTTTTATTTAATAACTTTTATTTTTAAATCACAATCTTTTGTTATGTTTTCAACTTTTTGGGTGATTTGGCCTGAAAATCAAAGCTAATCATATAAAATCTAATAAAAACATCATTAAATCCTTTTTAAAAATCTGATTTTATATTTAAAAATCCTAAAAATATATTTTTACTAAGTAACCAGCTGTTATGGAAATTTTATATTTCATTGTTTTAATCCTATTCTCAAGTGTCCTGAAGCATTCACACACACACACACACACACACACACACACACACGCGCACACACACACACACACACACACACGCACGCACGCACGCACACACACACACACACACACACACACACACTCTGACCAGACGTTCGGGCGTTTTTCCTCGTGCATGTGCCGCAGTTCTAACTGTGACGCGTCTGCTCATTGCCTCCTCCTCCTCTCCACTACAGGAAATGGGTTATTGATCAACATATTGATCAAATCCATGACACCAGTAATGCCTGCATCCATAATAACTTTAGCATTTGTTTAAACAACGTTTCTCTTTAGAGTTTAGTTTGATTTAACTGATATTATGAATCTGCCTGAAACTTTCAGCCGCTTCTGCAGACACCGACTTCTCTCCACTTTAATATTTTTATTTTCATCTTGTTCTGATTTGGTAAGTCTTGTGTTTCATTTTTCATATTGTTCAGCAACACAGATGTGTTTATTTCATTAGGCCTTCATATTCCTAAACAATGAAAAGCCAAAAACAAAAGCTGAAGAAATGATTTTCTGGCTGCTAGACTCAGAAGAAAGTGTGTGTTTGAGTGTGTGTTTGTAGAAAACCAAACCCGTCTCTTGATGCTGTCTGGTCACCTACAGACACCAAAGAAGCACTAAATTATTAAAGCCAGCAGACAGATTGCTACACATCACAGGAAATGACCCGTTTCAGCGTAGACTTGCTGCAGTTGACCTCCGATCCTTCACCACTCCACCTCCAGCGCCATTTGTTGTGTCCATTAGATTTTCATCTGTAATCGTCCATCATTACAGTCATTATCACTATTTATCACCGATGTCTGGAGCATTTACATTGGCCTTGACCCACTTGGTGCACTCAGCCCATCCACTCTTTCACCTGTCCCTCTCTGTTTCCCATCATCCCTCACCCTGTCACTCTGGGTTTACGGAGCACTGGATGAGACGTGACCTGGGGTCAACGCTGTTCCTGTCGCTCCCAGGTACGGCCAGCCCAAACAAATTGGGGTCACAGCAGAACTGAAGTGGTGTGAACACACACACGTGCGCGCACACACACACACACACACACACACACACACACACACACACACACACACACAAAGGCAGAGCCTAGCTCTGACAGCGGCGTGTAGATCGCAGCGATAGCGTCTTCTCGCGCTTTATGGCATCTAGCATGCGGTACAGTAAGAGCTGCTCTTTAAGGCGTGACTGCAGCGACGTGCTGAGTGGTGCAGGGGAAGCAGCTGTGGTCCTGGATGGTAATTAACAGAAACCCCACCATGAAAATGGCTGAAAGAGAGAGTAGGTAGAGGAAGCACGGGGTCAACAACACAATTAGAGACCCGTTAAATGCAGTTTTAAACGCCTGCCGTCTCCTAATTGCCATTTCAATTTGTCATTAGTGGTGGGTTTAAATGACCTTTAGGCCTAATATATGAAAGCTATAAACAGCAGGTAGGATGTTAACTGGGAGTAGGAAGACGTGTCTGTGTGTAATTAGTCATTTTCTAGTCTGAACTCCTCTTAATGACCCTTGGAAGCTGAACCGGAGACTAGATCTAAAAGTCGTCTGAAGCCAATAAGTTCATTCTCAGAGCATTCACGAGTTCACTTTAACATTTTGTAAAACAGCTTGAAATATCGTTTTTATTTCCTTTTTCGTGTTCTCATCCACAAAGACGTTCAGAACGGGACCTTTCCTCCTGCTCATGCCACAAAGGTGACGGGCTGTGATGTTGTCTGTGTGTGCATTCTAGCAGAATATCCCATCAAACCCTTTAATGACACACTTCCCCGTTGGAGTGAAGCCAGGTTAGGAAGGCTTTCCCAGGTTTCATACAGGTGAAAGTTGAAAAATCTGAATTTAGATGTAGAATATGGTGCAAAGGTTCATGTAAACATATATCCAGCAATGACTAAAAAACCAGCCTGTCAGTGTCTCCGCTACCCTGGAGGTGCAGAAAGGGTTGGATGACGTTCTCTCCTCGAGTCCTACCTCTGTAACGCATACCTGTGTGATTAGCTGCACATGCTAATCACACAAACGCACTTTGTCAGTTGTTAGCAGCGCCAAAAGCTCAAAGGTAAACATTCAAATGAAAGACTCTTGTGTTTGCAAAGCGACATGAGCGAGTGAGGATGGGGGCATAAAAGAGGAAGGCTGAGGAAAGAAGAAGTGTGTAATGCCACTTAAAGTTAAGTTTGCTAAAGAAAGGACTCCATCATCATAACGGTAGCAGTGCCAGGCTTTAGCGCTCAGCATACAGCAGGTATGATTCACCTTTCTCGGAGAGAAACTAACCAGTTAGGATCGGCCCGTGCACACCTGCACTCACAGCTGATGAAAGCCCCACACTCAAACCCTCAGACAATATTATGAACGATTGAATGTTCTAGACTCAAGGTGTCACACTGTAATCAGCCAATGAACACCTGCAAAGGCTTCCTGAGCCTTTAGATGGTCTCTCAGTCTAGTTTTGATCACTGAAATTAACAGAGCATTTTTCAAGTTGCACCCGTGCCTCAGAAAGCTAAAGGGCAGTCAGTTGCTCAGATATTGAGCCAATAATTGGTTTTGTATTACTGAATTTAAAAGAATGATCGATCGCGTGAGATGTTCAGTAAAACGTTGACATGAACTGTCCGACTGTTGGCAAAAACATCTCATAAACATCTCAAAGGACTTCAGACAACTTTCGTAAAGTCTTCTTGGATATAAATATCCACCTGAAACAGATCATTCAAGATGGCCAACAAAACTAAATCACCCTTAGAGAACACACGAATGGCTTGGTTTACTCGTGAACATCTCATAAACCATTAGAAAAGGTTTAACGGCGGTCTTGGAACAGTCTCATTGGATGTACCCCTAAAACCAGTTAGCATCATCAAAGATGGCAGCCACAGCTATCAGCCTCAGCACTCACAAAGCTGGTAGGAGAGTCGTTCACAACCATTCTCTAACGCAGTCACCAGCATTTGGCCCAAACTCCATCATTTCTCTACATAAATGATCTCAATATAAAAGCTGCTAACCCTAACCCCAACAGCCTTGTGCGTTGCTGTTCAGGTTCTCGTGGGGCACAAACGTGAGTCTGAGACAGAAGAGGCTTTACATCCTCCACAGGTACAAGCTCTTACTATGTGCAGCTCCAGGTAGTCTCCCAGTCCCTTGGCACTCTCCACTCTGACCAGAATGGCTTCCTTCAGCTGTGTGCTGAAGCCCACCGCCAGCCGGTCTGCCCGCGTGCTCGGCCGGTCATTGGGTGGCCAGGTGTATGTGATGAGGGCTCCGCCCCGCCCGAAGATGTAGGTGGTCCCAGCTGCAAAACACAAGCAGACATCGCTCCGTCATGAGGTGGAAACAGGGACGACATGAGCTCAGGGCTAGAATACAGAAAACGGACTACAAGGTTGTATAATAACAGTTATTTGTGGGAATGAGAAACTTTTTGTCAGAGTTTCAGAAAGAGTTTTCTTTTGTGAATGTTTTGTTGTTGTTTCTGCAAATAATCGGCTTACTGTCGAATCAAAGCTGCCGTTCATCTCTCTAAGAGAACTAAAGTTAAATAACCACCAGGCTTTATGATCTTGTTAGGTGTAGAAAAAGGAATCATTAAATATGAGCAGCCATGTTGGTGGCCATCTAAACGACGGCTCTGGTCTTAGCTCTCCACTGACTCTTGCATTCCTGCGAGGTGTTATTTGACCAGAACCAGAGCTGTTCCAGGGTTAGGGTTAGGGTTAGCTCGGTGCTGGCTACGCCATCAGAGTAACTGGCTGCTGCTCAACAACAACCCCCACCCAGGAAAAGCTGCCTTCAGATCTCTCCATCAAAGGGACCTGGTATCAGCAGTACTGGGGAAGTTAGCTTAAGGAATAAATTGGGTAAAAAAAAAAAGAAACAAAAAAAAAACCCACCTGCCTCATTAAAGGAACAATTTCATGTCTAAACTGTAACAGGGATTAGGGCTCGGCTCCCGAGGACCTGCAGGTAAATGGGAAACGAGTGCTGTTGGCTGTGATTAGCATAGAGTAATGAAAGCACAGCAAACCGCCCCCAGCCCTGCAGGCTTCTCCACCCCTGCACGTACCCAGGCTGGATGGAGAGATATTAATGCGTGCACAGCGTGTAGCTGTATGAATACAGAAGTGAACATGGGACTCAGACACATTTCTATGCAACACCGAAGCCGCAGTCAGCAACACAACACACACCAACAAAGTTTCAGTCACTCTGGTTTGAGGAGGAACGATTATTTCCCAGAGGCCTTTGCCCGGTAAACTTCAGCACCGACTCAAGCTCACGCTGGGATTGAATTAATTGGCCAAGCTGGTCGACCACCAACGAGAGCTCTTCAGCAGCTGTCAGACGTCCCGTTATCCGGGGCAGAAATGATGCTTAGATGTTCAAACTTCATTTTGAGGAGTGTTGTTTTCAGGGGGAATGATCGTATCGCAGCATCCTGAGCTAACACCTCGCTCTAGAAAACCAGTGTGTTGTCCATGTGGTCAGCTGCAGGTTCTACTTTCTCTTTAAAGTTTTGCTTTTGGAGCTCAAGTGTCTTTGTTGGTCATCTCAGTTCACGGTGATGCTTCTGTGTCATGGTAGGAAAGAGTCTGGGTGGCTCCTGGGTCCTTCCTGAACACCCTAAGCTCCTTCAGGGGGTCACTTTGGGTCTTCATCCAGAGGCTGAGTAACTGTTACCTTCACACAAGTTTCTGAACTGATGTTGTACGATGTAGACCCAAGGAAACTGGGTCGGACTCAGCCAGAGCTCCACATTAATGACATAAACACTCCTAAACGCGTAGATGTAAACATCCAGCCACAACAACCAGCCATGGGTGTATAATGGATCAGCGCTGACGTGCGTCTGCTCTCCTCGTGGATCTGTGAGAATCGTGACACAGACCTGCGGTGACTAAAGGGCCAACACCATCCAAGCAATGGGTGGCACACGGTGGAACAACAACGGTGACAGACACCAGCATCGAGCCGTTTAGCAACAATCCAGCGTTAGCCGTCTGAAACGGGCTGACACGCCCCGTTTCCCTTCGTCTCGCTCTCCAGCCCTCCTTCCCTCCCAGCAGAGCTAAGCCCTCTGCTCAGCTCTTGTTGTTTTCTCGAGGCTGTATTATTTTAGTGCTGACTAATTATCGCAGCAAGGCAAGGAGGGCCATAAAGAGGTTGTGAGCCAGAGGAGAGAGAAAGAGAGAAGAAGAGGCGCTTACAGAACATGGAGGATGAGACAGGGTGAACTGTGAAGAGCAGACAGGAAGATATTTCTCTGTCCTCATCTTTCCTACGTTTACTGCTGGTGGAGCTGGAGCTCGGTGGAAACTGGGCAGGGGAGTACAGACGGGGAGGGAAAGACTTAAAATGGCCGACAAACAGGAGGAGGGGAGCCATGTTGTGATGGACGAAAGTGGATGCATGTGGAGAGAAAGAAGAAGTGTTTGTAGTGGAAACTGGTAGATGGTTTAAATCCACCCAGTTAGAGGAGACGGGTTTAACCGGCCTGCGTAGTCTGAGAGCTAACGGCTCATCCTGTAGAAACACACGGCTGTAGCAGGGCTGCTCTCACAACAGCACTAGCTAACCGGGCCGAGCAAACGTTTTTCTGAAACCAGACGAAGAGAAACGTGAGAGAACAGGCTTGTTTCACAGCACATCCCTAAAGCCTCCATTACTGTGGCACAGATGTTTGTAGAAGAGAGCTTTCTGATCAGATGGAGGAGATCTACCTGAGTAACGGGGAGTTTCATCATGACACGCTCCTACGAGGAGAGCAGCGCTGACGCAGTCCCAGCAGGAATCAGGGTTCTGTCTTTACTGTCAGAAGCTAATTCAAGCACTCTGAAAGGAGACTTTCCTGACTTCTCTGTTACAGACTGTGCTGATCCTCACTAGAAGTACCAAACCATCTCAGTTCATTACCCTAGGACTCTTGTTTGGCTCTATATTTACACACGGAAGTGTTTTATAGCACGTTTATGAAAAATTCAAGCACCAGCTTGAAAGCACTGAACCTCGATCTGCACATTAAGATCCAAGCGTTGTCAGAGCTTTAAAGTACCTGCAGGAGCCCCAGGGTCAGCAGAGGTGAGTGCATGAGGCGAGGCCTTTTAGCAGGAGTACAGCTGTAGAGCGCGGAGATGTCGTCAAGTCTCTGTGCAGACTCGATAAACTTCAGTCAGTCTCCCTAACTTCATAAGCTAACCGTGTCTGTATGTTTCTACATAAATGATACCGTTACACCTGACTTCTGGTGGGACTACGCCTGCTGAGGCCAGATCATCAGAACTAGAACAGTGCTGACATCATAATGGACTCATGCACTTGATGCAACATCGCTGAGCCTGCAGATGTGATGGGAATCAACCTGCCAAGCTCCACAGCAGCGGGGGCAGACAAGAACCAGGGTCCTTAGGTAGAGAGATGTCCAAATGTCTCGGAGACTCCAAAATATGAGTAAATTAAAGCATCTGAACTTTTAAAAGTGGATCAAATCCCTCGTAAATGAGGATAAACTACGAAACCGAACCCACCATAAACCCACAGAGCTGAATCTGCAATTCAGATGAAGAGCCAGAGGCTTTTAGAAAGTTGTCATAGCCCTCTCCGCTCTCTGCAGTGCAGATTATTGGCATCGCAGACGAATCGTTGCTTTCATAAAACACTGGAGATGGAAAACAGATCCTCAGCATCACAGCTCATTTAGGGCGGCGCTGAAAACAGACCTGCCGTTTGCCCCGTCGCTGCATGTCTTCCGTCTGCTCTCACACTGAGATCATTCCCATCGATTAACACCCCCGCCATGCGAAGCTTCCACCATATGCTCCATCGTCCTCGGAGAGTTCTCCGTACACCAGACGTCACTGTGACAGTCACACCTGCCACTTGTGACTTTGTCTTCATTATCAGCGTGTTCTCTCTATCTGCATGAGCGACACAACCAACGGTGTTCAGACGAGGAAATCCAGACACGTTCTCTCTCGCCTGCTTTGGTTTGTGTGTCTGATAGTGGCCGCCGGCTGCTTTGTGGACTCGTGTGCTATCTTCCCCACTCTAAATGAGAAGACTGAGGAGGCACCGAGTCTGTAATGAGTGGTCTGACGGGGCACATCCATGTGTGACTGTTTCCCCAACCAAACACCCGCTGCTCTGCTTTGAAAGACCACTGAAAGCTGCAGTGCTGCACACGTGTGGGAGGATGGGGAAAGAGGGGTTGACTGTGCTGTTTATCAGATTCAAGGGGACAGGTCTAGAGGGCGTTCTTCCCTGGCTGGTTTCATCACATCGGTCTGAGTAAAATCAGGGGACACAAGTTCACACAGAGCAGACAGAACGTGTCTAATGGCTGGATGTGTGGAACGGTGTGAAGGGTTTTCAGAAACTTCAAACAACCTCAAGTAATCTGTATGAAGGTTCAGGTCCACCGGGGCCTTGAGAGGATCTCCAGAAGTCAAATAAAACCGGAAAATAAATAAATACTGTTGTAAAAATCTAAAGCAATACAAGTAAACGGGTGTAAGTAGCACTAAACCACTTTAGTTCTATTATATTTTTAGCTTTTTCAGCAATGCCCGTGTAGGCCAACCAAGGACAACCATTGTAATTATCTGGGTCAGACCCTGACATGTTAGGGACCACCACTATCGCGTCAGACCCGTGCCACAACCCGTGCACGCGCATTGGGTCCACAGCGCGCGTGTGAACGGGACTCGCGAGCGAAAATATACACGGCAGCGCGCGCGTGAACGGGACTCACGAGCGAAAATATACATGGCGAGAGGTCATTTGTGCACTGAGAGGGAGCAAACTGTGTCTGTGAGTGCACAAGGATGTGCACAAGTGACAAACCTGCGTGCACGCGTTGCCAACGAGCACACGGCAGAGGAAAACGTGCGCGCTCGGCAGCCTCTGCGCGCTCGGTTTCTAATTCCGCTCGCTCGGCTGTGAGGAGTTTTGGCACTCTGGAGGCGTGGCCTGTGGCAGATCTTCTCTGTCCTCTGATTGGTTAGTTTACCCCGCACTTTACTCTCTAGCTATCTATATAAAAAATCTGATATTCAGCAGTTGCTGTCATAGCTCAGCTGGGAGAGCGGGTGACTCTCACTCTGGAGGATCCAGGTTCGAGTCCGGCCAAGGAACATAGAGTTGATGTCATATTATTCTTTCCTAATTCCTGTGATATTATTTTACAGTTGTGACCGTTCAACTGTCATTAAACGTCCGAATGTTTGCTGGGCAGTGTTTTAAAAAGTGCACATAAGCTAGATGGTTTTAACCAGGTAAAAATAGACTTGTGGGTGTAGG